GCTTCTCTGATTCACCTGGATTCCTTCTAACAAATGAAGCTCGAATACGAGAGTAATAAACTTTGGCTATATATGGATCCTCCTAGTTCTACGCTTGTACATATAATATTTTCATCCAAACTCCATCTAATCTTGAAAACACCACTTCATACAAATGATCATTATAAATCTGTAAACATGGCCAGACTAAGCCCATCCTGGGAGCAAACCACATTACTTAACCTGAACCAATGGCTGATTTCCCAACTGCAATGCAGCCGATTAATGTTATCTGAGTAACAACGAGAATTATCATTATTTTCATCACATCGCTGTTAAAAGTAGCAATATAAAACACCGACGGAATGGGATGATGTTAGAAGAATAACCCATCGAAATCAGACTCTATAAATCTAAAATACGCTTTAGGCGACCGATCGAGTGAATTCTTGTCTGTTTTCAAAACACACCTCTTTCGTTGTTTGGATATATGACGAACGACTTCCTGTTACTTAAATCGATCAGGCCGAGCAAACCCAAGGTGAACAGATGCAAGTTGTCGCCGGGATCACAAAAAAGAGATATAATTAGGAACATTACCGTCACTTCAAGGGAGCCACGTAAAAAGAGGTGGGTCGAACAGAGAGGATGTAACCATCTGGCGGAAAATTGTCAAAAGTTTCACCGTGAATAAAAAGTGAAAAAATATTTTTGATCGTGAGTAATGAAGTGCTGAGCACTTTAAAATTGACCATCTTGCAAGATGCACAGTGACTGCATCAACACTTCAATTTGTTCGAGGGTTGTTGTTTCTTATGACAATTTTCAAAGAAAACAATGGTTAATATAGATGAAGTGGTTCAGGGTTAAACAGATGCTTTTTATAAACGAATTTTCGCATCTAGTACAGTGGCTAACCGATGGCTCCAGGTAGAAACCCAGGTAAATTTAGATGCAAAAAGAGGATGTTAGTAAATTATTGTGAGATACTGTCCTGAATCCTTGAGAATATGTTGAGGGCTCTCTTAAAGGGCTCTCGGTAAACATCTTAAACTATATTACTCGGCCACAAATTTTAGAATTCAACGGCTCGTAAAGAGTAAATAGTATGCCTGGAATCCATTCTTCTATCCTGGGTCTCAAATTTATGTGTATTGCACTATTGGTTCCGGTTGGGACCGGACTTAAGTCGGTGTTTATTTGGATGCCGAGGAGTGTTTTTGATACTGAAAGTCATTAGAAGCGCACCAATGAGACTCCGACAACTTGATGGGTAAAGATTCAGCGATTTGACGAGCTATTCATAAGGTTTGAATTTGAGTGCACGAACTGATTTCATGCCTCGTGACTGTATATGTCTTAGTGTACTCTTACCCATTTGATGTGAGAGAGGGAACGCTATTTTCTCACACTGTATAGAGGGTCAAATAAAACTGTTGAAGAGTAGATAGAAAGTCTTATTTTCAAACTAGAAAAAAAGCGCAAGTTTTGCTCAAAGAGCATCTTTGTCTCAGTTTGCGTAAAAATGAAGATTATAGGGCGTCAGCAGTTGTAAATCTCCTTCAACTTGGGACACCTCCAGAGAGGGTATTGTCTAAGTTGTACGCGTAGTCTGCGACATGTCACAGCTGGACTACTTTGCACTTTGAAGTGTCCAAGTTCATTGCTATTCGCCAAACTTTGAAGTCCTGTTAGATCCTAATAAAGTGCCAGCTTACCCTATCGGTTACATGCCTCCCTCCAAGGTCTCATATCGTCCGTGCAAATCAATGTGAGCCAACTTCTACTTTTCTGGTGCATTGTCTCAGCTATGCGAATATGAGAACATCACGCCAAGAGATTTCACCGGGATTGAAGCTGCTTTGCTCAGTATATGGATACAAACCGTATCCGGGCCCGGAAATGTATTGTAAAGCTCTCATTATTCCAATCCTGACTTCCCTTCCTTCATTTGAACTTACTTCACTTTGCTGAATATCACAACTCGTTGTTTATGACTGCATTCTCTCATCTGGAGCCTCTGATCACATTTCGATTTGGCTACAAGAACTGGTATGAATTTGACCTATTAAGCAATCATACCTCTGTCTGATCCACTACAAAATGTGAAGCATTGTTTATCGTTCATATCCAAGTTCCTTGGCGCTCCTCGGTTTCTGTCTTTTTCAGAATCATGCTTCGAAGACACACCTTTGGAACTTCTGACATCTGGGACAAACTTGACGTAAGCGTTCCCTCAAAGTCATAGTTCACACCAAGCGGTCTACAAATCTACTTAATAACAACTATAAACATAAAAACTGCATTGCATAAATACTAAGCACGACCAAAATCCTAAAACAATAATGCTGGGATTAGATCTCGTGTGTAGCGTGGACGCGATGCCACATTTGAGAATATTTTGAAGATTACTCAATACATCTGAAGTACTATATTTATGTGACATGCATATTGTGAAACAATAAATGTTGTAATTTATAGATCATACCTGTCAAAATGGCGTGCACCTGCCATTGCAGAAATATGTGTGTATTATTATTACGTCATCTTCTTGTTGTCACGAGCGGCATTGCCAGTCAACTCAAGAACTTCAGCCGCCAGGTACTCGAGGATAGCTGCCAAATAAACAGAGGCACCAGCTCTGACACGTTCTGCGTAGTTACCCTTGCGAAGAAGGCGATGGACACGACCAACTGGGAACTGCAGACCAGCACGGGCTGATCGTGTTTTGGCCTTAGCACGAGACTTTCCACCTTTACCACGTCCACCCATTATCCTGTTCACGTTTCCTGAAGGAATTAGTACTTTTAAAAAATTTTCATGTATATATATACGATTGTACAGATTGATAAGAAATTTATTCGTTACCGAAACCTGTCTTCTATTATCGCCCTTCTGCGTGAAAGTTTCACTGGATTACTTTGGTAAGTTTCTGATGAAACTGAGCTCTAAATATGGTACATCAAGCAGTATCTTCACATCCACATTTGATTTCAGCTAGTCACCAGTCGGTAGGATATCCTTTGCATCAGGATTGCTAGTGAACGTTTCACGAAAGAGTCTTGGATGATTTCTCTGTTGTGCATCCTTCTCTCTGGTAAGGCGTGTAAGAGTTAGTGGCACAATTTTAGGAAATCTGAGTTTCCTGTTTAACTTTCCTTAAGACACAATGTCGTTTTTGTCTTGTGGATTGAGAAGAAAGTGAAAGCTGTCTTTAAGGTTTGTAATTATGAGAGGATAATCTCATACCGTAATCATTTTCTCGGGCTTTTGGGTACGTTGAAATACGGGTCTTTTTTGTTTGGCAGTTAGATTGAGTTCGTCTTTTCGTGTGCCTTGCTGATTAGTTGGATAAGCTTAGTGTTAGATTGCACGGTCGATTCATCAGATAATTTTTCTACAAGACCTGCTCAGCTTTTTCAACGGTGACGTCCAATCCCGGCTTAATTTTAATAATCCAGTCGCTTACAATAAAAGTTTTGGGAACTACAGTTCATTTAGACAGTTTGTTGTAGGCGCCACAAGTTTATTGAGAGAATCCAACACTGTCAATGTAATAGAAGTGCCAATTTTCGGCATGTTCTGTCAATACTGATGCTGTCGAAGACTGCTCGTCTTTGTTTGTCCACCAGTTTCGGGACTGTTTTTACTGGTTACTGTTAATCTTTTTCACAGAAGATATTGCTTAGCAAATCCTTAGCTTTTATGTTGCGTGTTCCACTTGCCCACTTCAGTTATGAACTGCTATGTATGTTGTAGGCAGTTACAGCAAGGTCCGTGCATGCTTCGTGAACCTTCGGGATGTCCCTTAAAAGTGATCTTAGTGACAGTGGTTAGATATAAACTATTAAATGAATCCTAGCAAAAGTTTACGATCGTGAAATAACAGTGTGCTGAAAGAGATATAAACTTGTAAAATAAAAAGTTAAGGTATACTAAAACTAGCCTTGACGTGAAATACCGCATAAACCGAAAAGGAAGAAGCGGCAAAACCACAGTTAACTATTAACTAGTATAATACTAAGAAATAAAAGTAATCTGTCAAACGTTAGGCTCAGGACAGATTATTTGAATCAAGCATGTAATATTTATTGCTTAAGGTTACAGTAAAAGTTTGATAAATATAAATCATGTCAGGACAATGCTTCTTATTTATAAAGCAGCCTGTACCTCGAAAGGATATATACAACAGCGATTGCACCCTCCGAAAACGACAAACAAAACCCAGAAGCATCATATATTCTTCGGACCTAGAACAAACATGAACATTACTTCCGTCACTGAATTCGCTCCGGAGAACCAACAAACAGCCTACAACAAAAATTGGAGGGCTTCTTCAGAACTCAAAGAATGTGAAACATAGAACAGCCGAAAAACAAGAAAGTATGCTAAGACTTGTTGTTACTCTATTATTGTCACAATGCCAAAAGCCTTTGCCTGGAAACGTTCAAGATAGTAAGGGTAGATTACTGTGTAAGGAAGTGATTTGCAATATCAAGCCCCCATATTCGAACCCTAAAGTTATACAAAGTTCATCCATTACAGGAATCGCAATCACTGTTAACACTTTATCATTTTTTACTTACGCAAAAAAATCGAAGGGGTAATTTGTATTTCTTAGGATTTTTCGAGTGTTGGGGTATTCTCGCTGTTTGAAACGATATAATCAACTCAATTGGGATACCATAGAAAACCTATCTTTACAAAAACACGATAGGTTTCCCATTTCAGTTGACCAATTATTTTATTTATGATCGCGTTCGTTTCAGCAAATCCTCATTCGCGTATATCAACCAAGGATTTTTCCTAGACAGAAGATGGTTTACAGAATGCTTATTCTATGACTGCACGACCATTTGGGACCACTTCAAAAATAGTACGCGAACTTATCAAACCTGTTCTAGTCATTCCTACCTTGCTTTAAATTACATCATTTTTGCCAGAATGAATGAATTATGTCACTACATATGTCAGTTTTTACATGGATAAACTTTTTGTTTCTTTAATCGTTTGAAACCATCAAACAAAATGAGGTCAGGAGTAGTGGCTAGTTAAATGAAACCGCTACTTCTGTGTTCACCGAAGGTTTGTTGTTAACTTGTAGATCCGGTCCGTTATTATTTTCCCCCATATTTTTAACATTTTATCCATATTAGTAAAGTAATCGTCACTGTAGACAAATAGGACTCTATTTAGGCTTTTTTATAACCTGAAAGATGCGTTTACCCAATAGCCCGTAATAACAACTATGGAAGTGCTGATCCAATTTCAAACGATTTCAGGCCAAAAAGTTCAAAATGGAATTCGTTTGATGATTAACTATATGTCAGGGTGCTCAAAATTTTCAAGTTACGATTGGTTGGTTAGCAACTGTCTATTTTCGAAGGTTTGCTTTATGATCCTAGTAACTAAACTATCGGATTTTTCTACCAAAATATTTTTCACTAATATAAGAGTAATAAACTATCCATTTACGTCTTGGGCTGTTAAATTCCTTGGATTGTCTATACTCAATATTCATATATATTTCACTAAGACATCTAGCTTTGCTGATACTGACCCGTGAAACGGTGTTAGCATCTGTTTACCTGGAATTAAAGTTCGCTTAATAAGACAACCGTCAAACTGCCTATACTGTTTCTTAGCGTTTCTGCATTTCGTAGTGATACAATCTATACGCTTCTGAAGTTTTGTTTGTGCACATTGTGAAAATCTCTTTGATCGACCTATAAAAGTAAGTGTTCATTTCAAGCATCATAAGCATTGGTCAGATTTACTTTTTATTTTTTGTCGGATTATGGGTAATCAACCTTCTGTATATTCCATAGCTTGCCTTCAGATAGGTGTAGCCTGTCAGTCTTCATTGAGGGATACATAAACTCATTCATAAATGTATTAAGTCTAGTAAGCTATCAATTTTTAAAGATTACTAATAAACAACATACTCGGGTAACGCTCAACAGGATTAAACTTATGCGCGAGACTGTAGTACGTGGAGGAACCGGTGGAATTAGGGTTGCGAAGTCTTGGATATTGGCCCAATATTCATCCATACATTTGATAAATCGCATTTTAGCATTATTATTATTATTATTATTATTATTATTATTATTATTATTATTTCAACACATAGATATTGGTACAAGGAGGCACCAAATACATATGCGCCACACAGGTCTCATTTGATAAGTGTGAGGGCTGTGATACTGCCCGGGTGCCCAAACCGAATCAGGAATTTTAGCATTATAGTTGATATCAGTTCTTGTTGGAAACCCTTGCTCTTATTTCTAATTCTGAATTGGAGTAACGTTAAAGTAAACTTGGGATAAACTTGCGTTAAAGAAGATTATAAACTAGCATGAGGAATTGCGATTGGTAATTGGAATTCAGAATTAGAAATAAGAGCAAGGGTTTCCAACAAGAACTGATATCAACTATAATGCTAAAATAGTTGATATCAGTTCTTGTTGGAAACCCTTGCTCTTATTTCTAATTCTGAATTCCAATTACCAATCGCAATTCCTCATGCTAGTTTATAATCTTCTTTAACGCAAGTTTATCCCAAGTTTACTTTAACGTTACTCCATTTATAGTCTCACCAGATTATATTATGAGTTGACATAACTTATACTGTTTGGTTAATTGAATTATATGTGCAAATAATTCGTCCAATAAACGCGATGATAAAAAATGTTATAAATCCCCATGTAATGTAGTGGGAAACGTTATCTACTGATTTATCAAAGTCAGAAACCCAATTCCAACTAACATTAACTTATTTGAGGCCCTATAATATGCATCTCTCATCCCGGCTATACATGGACTGATCATATTACAAGGGAATCATAATATTGAAGTTTAATAGTCTGTCGTTCTTTTCAAATAACTCGACTAGTCACGTCTAATTGGAACATATGATATGGTCGGTAGCTTATTGAGTAAAAGCATTCACCTTTCAGTCTTTAAGGTGATGATAGTCACCCCATCTCACCCACTTTGATTCGATTACCCAAACAGTATCACTGTCCCTCCAAGCCGAATTGATTTCAAGATGAATACATACAAGTTACCCTGCTCATATACTTTTCTGTTTCTGTTTTCTTTCCGTAACCCTTGGCATCACTTTTAATTTTCCAGTAGTGTTTTACACGAGATACTTCTTGATTGAAACGTACTGAGTTTATTTTTTTCATAAGCGCGTATCAAGTGAACAGTTTGTTACTTAACAATCATCATTTGAATAAACTATGTATTCCCATGTGTATACTACGAAGGTAATACTCACTTCACAGATGTACTTACTATTCAGCGTCTTATAATTTTCCAGCAAATATTTGGAATTTATTAAAGATCTTACTGTAATGTAATAGTTCTGATGAAAAAAGTCGTTAAACACCGCGAACTTGAAAGGAAAATTGTTTGCTTAATAAGAACTATAGTTCAGATATAACTCTCTAGTGTTAATATCCGGTTTTCATCTATCGGATCACATAATTATAATCCGTTCCACCTAATTTGCCTCAGTTTGGTAATAGATATGGTTACGTGTAGAACCTAAAGGTCTTTAAGGTCATTAAGTCGGTTTGTTGTTTATGATAGTATAAAACACACTGAGATTATAAAGGTTAAATAAGTCGTATAAATTGACTAAAGAGTACTTGGAATGTCAGTTTTTCTTTTTTAAAAATCTCAGAGTATAAAACGCCCTACAGTATGAGTTTGAGTAACTGGTTGGATAACATTAATAATATTCATGATATCGGTTTTAGTCGTATGTTTTACTTGCCCCCTAAAAAGGTGTCTACATAAATTAAGGTTATATTTGCGGGTTTAAGAGCGACATTTTTGCTTACCTCATTTCAGAAATAGAAAGGGGGTATATAAGTACATAATTAGGGAGATGCTAGTCATCAAATTTCAAAGTAACTGGCAGTAAACTCGCTGAGCTTTGCGACTTTAATTTATGTGGCGTAACACCAGTGAACTATATTATATGCAGCCAGATATAAGAATCGTTTTAATCAGACTAAATGAAGGCCTATATTTAGTTAATAGCTAGGCGCCCCCAGAAATTTGCCACAGATTAGAATTAGCTAATCAAAAGGTTAGGGAAGTGGTTCTGTTTTCTAAGCTTTTTGTGTAATTTCTGACTTTAGGAATGAAATACCTCACCTATGATATCGTTAATTGCAATGCTAAGTGATGCACACCAAAATGTTCTAGGAAGTTAAATAAACCTGTAAATAATTGTGTCGACGAATTAAGTCATCGATTACTTAGTTGTAACCGTACATAAAACGAAATGGTTTGGCACATTTCCTGTTTGTTGTATAAATATCAGTCCAAGTTATGTGTGACCATTTAGCAAGTTAAATAATTATTTATGAGTCCTAAATACCTAAAACTGTTGATTATCTTAAAAGATATTCTTTCTCCCTCTCATCACAGTTGAAACCTTAAAGGCGAACCGAATGATTATGCAGTGGTGCGGCAAAAGCACTAGACAACTGATGGCCGTTTCTGTAAGTTCAAAACTCCCCCCACAAGTATAGTCGGAACGGATTACATTTCGAGAACTGACATCTATGGTAGTAGACTGTCGAGTAGTCTTTGAGTATTGTGAAGCCATGTAGAGTTTCAACCATTGACCCTCCAGGTACCTGATAAAAAAGTGAAATTCCCCTCTAGGTATAAATAACCTTATTCAAAATAACCAGGTTTTGATACTTTTAGTTTAATCTTTAATTTGAAGATCCTCATCCATCATAATATTCTGTGCACATATTTGAACCTTTAGACAGTGCATCGCATCACATCTGTTCATAAACTACAAAAAATTCCAAAATCTAACTCTAACATATATAAATTCAATCCTGTTTTTTCTCCAGTTGTAGTCATCATGAACAAGTCATGCTTAAATCTTAGTGAATTCCATACTGATCAGTATATAGACATCAAGGAAAGACTTGTGGCTTTGGAGAAGCACTTATCGGACCCTTTTTCAGATTGTTATGTTGAACGTCTTCTTGATGTGGTTGTGGCATGCGTCACAGAATGTACAAAAACTGTGAAAAGTGTGAAAAATGAGAACATGTTAGCATTTTTACAAAGGTAGGCTTACTTACATCTTAGTTATAGAGTTATTTTAATGTGTTCTTTAATCATGTATCAACTTTTCAATAATGTGAAACTAATTTCTTTCTCAGCTATTTTGCTTTAATGGTATTTTGAATATTTACTAAAACTGTCTTTAAAAGCTAATCGTCAAAGTGTTAACGAAGTAAATCGATGCATAAGAACCATGCAAAATTGATTCAACGAAGTGATTCTATTACTCGGTTTACGTGGATATTTTTCTTTCCTGAATAAGTTGTTAGGATTCATACTTACTGATAAAGTACCGTCTGGGTGTTATTGATGTTGATGATCCTTATAAATGAGGAATACACTAACTGGACCTTAAATTCAGGAATATCACTTCTCATAAATCCTAAAATGATCTCTGCCAAAATGAAGGGTTGCTTTTTAAAATATTCATATTCGAACAAGTTGTTGTACATGTTATTGCTTAATCAACTTGAAATGACAACAGTGGTTTCGAGAGGCTTTTTTGTGTGCTTAATTTGGCCGAAGTTAAAGTATCTATGTAATTGATTTCTAACGGCTGTTACCTTAGTCACCTAAGATAGTTAATCTGATTCAGTAGTAGAATCTATAGATCGTAAGGCTTATTATTACAAGTAAGTCATCTTGGATGTAGGACCTGGGATGAATGTGCCTCAACCCAGGTCGACACAGTTCAAAATAAATAAAAAGAAGTCAATAAGATGAATGGCAACGAGTCAAGAATAATAGTAGCATTGGTGACAATAAAGCTGAAGTTATATAATACGTCTCAGAAAGAAAAGATGAATTTGTAGAGTAAAAGTATAGAATAATATCGAAACCCAGGATTTAAGGGAAAATAAAGAATGAATGCATCTACGCTATTCTGACCGATTCCCAGTCATGTCATCCAACCTCTTCAGCAATTAATTAAAGGCCGTGTTTCATGATCATAAAATGAAATTGTTGGAACGGCCTTCGAGAAACACGACGGATCCTTCTAGGGCTCTAAAGGAGCCGGAAAATTTCCACCTAATCAGGACCTGCTGGAGCTTTTTGGAATATCAACGTAGCATGCTATGATTGGATTGTAGAATAACTTGCCTCCTTGTGGATCGGCTGGATTGTAATGATATTATAACCAACGCTAATAACTATAAATACACGTTTTTCTGCACATTTTTGATTCTTACCCAACAATCACTTCTGCTTCCTTCTGTCTACTGATTTGCGACTGTGGGTCTTTGTACGTCCGAGTGCCGTTGGTTGTTTATCATGTTCTGCGTTAACTAATAAGAGGACATAGCAAAAATAGATAGAATTTCCTCTTTAATATGCATACAGATACCGTGTTTAATCCACAGGCAATCTAAATTAAACCTCATCCAATCATGGTTGATTAAATTTCCATACTATCTGACTCCAACTCACACATAATGGAGTACGTTCGAAACTCTTCAGCCTGATAATAAAAAATCTAGATTTTATACGAATGAATCACTTTTGCTAGAGAAGTATTCTGAAATAATGACGGAAAATGTTATGAGCAATGTCGTTGAACATCTAAAGGATAACAGATAAAACCTGATTGTTTTGTTTGGTCGAAGCGGAAGAGTAACGGTTATGATCGCTGTTAATTATTACGGTAATCTAGCGATTTCTGTTTCCTTTCTTCTTACATCAGTGATATATTTTATTAACTACCTTAGGAAGGTGCTGTATTAAGATTGTTATGGCCTGCCTTACTAGCATTCAAAAATAGCGGATATAACAATGTAAAAACTGATTAGGCACCAACTTGGTCCGCATTACCATAAATCTAAACAGTACGATTGGCAATTAAACCAAACGATGGGTTGAAATTAACCAATAAACTTAACATTAAAGAATAGATCTGAACAACTCCATTCTATTTCAAATCATATAGATGATTGTATTCAAGCAATCATAGTTAGTGTTTCGTGAACCATAGCGAAAAGTATGTCAAGCTTTGTTTACAAACCTTACTTGTTTTTTTCACAGGTATTTTTATTATTTCGCTTGTCTTTTTTGTATTCTAGTCTAAAGGATTGCATAAACTGGTGTTTTTATGGAAATTTAAAATGTTTTCTCTTAGTTCAAGGTGTATCTACAAAATTAAAGTTCTATTTACAAAACAATGTATTTGTCATATTGGCGAGAATTAGCATAGTAGAAATCATGACTTTTGTGTATCATGTCATTAATGACTAATGAAATGTCAGCACACTGATAAATTATAAATTTAAAAGACAGTTACTGAGAAACATCTGTGTCATAAATCAGACCGTATCTGAAGCATGTTTAACATTGAATTCCAATTCAATTATTATTTATCTCTGTTTTATAATTTACATCACGGACCGATTTTAGCTAGAGAACAAGTGTTTTGTTTCAGTACAGTAGTCTCCAGCAATAAAAATACACAACCTCTCCAGCTGTCGAACTCAGAACATTCAGGCGTCTCGACAAATGTTTTTTTTTCGGACTGCTTGGTCGAGATTCATTGGTTTACATTTCTAACTCCTATCAATTGCTTATGATTTTAGTAGTGGAGATGTATAGAAGTTTCATACTCCTAAGTTATTTTAAATTAAATGTGAGCTAAATGTTGATTGGTTGCATGTTTCCGGTTGATTTCCTTTTAAGGTAATCATTTTTTTTTACATTGATCGATTCTTCAGAAATACTAAGAATAAGAAAATATCTTTATTCAAGTATGACTAACATTTTAAAAGATAATTTTCCTAATGTATCAATCTTAACTGGAGAAAAATTGACAAACAGGTGACATAGAACGACTTTTGATTCTAGATTTAGATTCCCTGTCAGTACAAAATCTCTATCTTGTACTTCATGATTTACAATGAATTCTCTTAACTTATGTAAGTCTTATATATATATATATATATATATCATCTTCAAATCACAAGACATTTTCGAATAATTTTTCACATTTAAAATAGCTGAACCTTCTTTCATAAATATGAGTTAGATATGGTATTTTGGGTATGTGAATATGAGTTATTTGATATGAAATGTGTTCAAGTTGTAGTAAGTGAAAAAAGACATGTGTATACAGTTCTTATGTGAAAATAAAACAAATGACTATTGTATTGGCGTTAATTGTAGTCAGAATGGATTTGGTCATCCATATATCTTCATAATTTCTTTCTTTTTTTCTTTTCTTCAAAGATTTCTCAATGTGGCAGTATGTTTACAGTCATATCGTCGTAAACCGGAAGATTTTTCATTTATCAGTTCATTAGGTCACGGCGCATTTGGTCGTGTTCAACTTGTTCGTGAAATTACAACAGGTCGTGTATGTGCGATGAAAGTATTAAAGAAATCTCGAATGCTTGCACAACACACAGATTATTGGGCTGAAAAAGAAATTATGTCACATGGTGAAAGTCCATGGATTGTACAATTATATTATGCTTATCAAGTAATTTATAATTAATTTTACTTATATGCTACTTTTAATGGTGATATTTATTTTGATAATGATAAAAAGTAATTTAAGTTATTGAATGAAACCATGTCCAGGATGCTGTAAAAAACCTACAATCAAACAGTCTAACCCGATCCTCATCATTTATTATCGATTTATTTGATGATAGTTGTTTTATATTACATACCGGCACTGATTACATTGGTTAGGCATCTTTAATTTGTAAATACCATATGCAAACGCTTAGATGTGTAGTTCCGACTCGAGAACACAAAGTATGGGCATCTTTCGTAAACTCAAGACAAAATCCTATTCCCGATTATGGTCAACCTCTCGTACAAACCACACATTCCCTCCAGATATCATTCTATAGTATTGTCGATAGATGGTAACAATGAGGAATAAGCAAACTGAATGTCTCTATCTAACACTACAGCTATTTTTGTGACAAGGAAAATAATCAGTTATATTTTCAATCCACTTGACGCACGTTTATACAAGGTGTTCAATATTGTTAAGCAGTCTCTTCGCGAGAAAATTTATAAATATTAATTTTACAGTCTAATTCTGTTCAATAAATCTAAGACAAACCTTGTGTTTAGTATTTGCAACTAATAACGGCCTTGGATACTGCTTAAAGTTTTCAAACATTCATTGAACAGTAAACATACAAACTACTAGTTCACTGAGATGAAATTCAACATGCTTTCTTAAACTCTAATCGTATCACCTACTAAATAATTTGTTCAGTATTCAGTCATTCCTGATACAAAAAATGAAAACTTGATCCGTTATTTGTCTGCACAAACGTTTGAAAAATGGATGGTATGGAAACTCCATTCTTAGCAATAGAACAGTCACTTTGCGACCTCTTGATGAAGGGTCAGGGTGAAATATCAGAAATAAAAGATCTAATAATGTGCCCACTTGATCTCCATTTTACTGAGTGTTAATATGTATTATCTTAACATTTACAGTAAAACTTGATCAAACATATTGGTGGTATTAGTTAGCTAAAGTGCTAATCCATGTTAATCTTTGAATTCACTTTCTTTTCATTAGTGCATGGTCATATCACTTGTTGATTGTAGATTGTTATTTTAACTTGAAATAGAAGTTATACGGATTCTGGAAAAGACCTTTAGCTCAAGCTGATGATTCTGGTGGAGTTGTTTTCTCTAGGCTGGGTGGTTTATACAAACAATGACAGAACAGGACGACATCAACTAATCAAAACGAAGCCAGCGCGATAAACTACTATTCATATATGGGGAACTTCAAATAGCCTACTTCTATTTGAAATTTGTACTGATGATATTTTCCAAAATGACAGTGAAAGCTTCAAGGTCATCCCACCTAACTCAGAGAACACGACTCCACCGAAAGTACATCCAGACAATATTTTTGTCATGAAATTACTTGACATTCTAACAAGGAAAATTTTACCAAACTATTCAAAGTATGTTGTATACACAACTTTCATTCAACATTTCCCTTACAGTAGTCTTTCACCACTTACTTTACCATCTTAAATAGTTTTATAAATGGTACTAAATATTTCTATTGTTTGCACATTGGAGGGAGTAAACAGTAAATGTATGGTGACTAAACCGGATTGGTGGGTATGAAGGATCCACTTAGAGGAGTTGGAAAACCCCGATTTCAAATTAGTGGTGCACATGAACTCCAAAATCCTGATGGAACATATGGCATACGAACCTATCGTTGATCACTGGCTACCATGGGACTGCATCTTTTGATGTCGCTACACTGCCTTGTTTATTAAACCTCTAGGTCGAATGCTAAGGGAATGGACGCCTAAGGAAATTACCTGCTTCGGTTTAGGTACCCTCATAGTATCCCAGGCCATACACAAATTTAATGATATCTTGTGTGACCCATATATATTTTGGTGCTCATTTTCCCCAGTGTTTATATGTTTAAATAAATAAATAATTTGTGTTATCATCTATTTTTTCCCTTCAAATATATAGGATTTAAAAAATTTGTATATGGTTATGGAATATGTTCCCGGTGGTAATCTTGTCAGTTGGATGGATGAAGTGGAGTTCATGTCAGAAGCAGCTTGTCGATTTTATGCAGCTGAAACAATTCTTGCTTTAATTGATTTACATGCAATGGGATTTATTCATCGCGATTTAAAACCGGACAATTTATTATTAGATGCTGGTGGTCATTTAAAACTAGCTGATTTCGGTACTGCTATACGTGTTGATCCGGAAACGTCATTAATTCACTGTGATGCAGCTGTTGGAACACCAGATTATCTTAGTCCAGAAGTTCTTTTATCACAGGTAGATGTTTCTATGACTTATTTCTCTCTTGAAGAAAAGTTCTTAATCAATAAAATGTTTTACCTTTCTAAAAAAAGATAAGTTAAAATCCCTAGTATTTTTTCGAAAGTATGTTCCCTTTTAAAATAATGGTCAAACTTACTGGTTACATATTATCATAGTCTGGTGACCAGTTCACATCAACTATCTTATCAGTAATTAAACTATTCATTATACACCATGAACTATAACTTTTCTCTAATTCACTTCATAGTGCTGTTACCCCTGGTAAAAATTTTAAAATATATATTCCTACTTCGAGAACATTACCAAGATAAATCTGTCTGGAACGAGAAAACGTTAGCTATAAACTATTTTATAGGGAACAATTTCATAAATTTTTTCATTCGTGAAAAAAACTCTTGTACTGTAGATAGCTCGATAAACTGGTTTTATTTTTGAACATTTCAACCTATGAGTCAAGCGATTATCTAAATTTTTTGTATTGTCAGTACATGAAATATTCTTTTTCCGTCAAGTAATAATGATTATATCGTCAAACCATTACTCTGGCTAACCCGGGTTCGGATATACCAGAGAGAGTATTAGTTTGCTCAAGGTTACCAATATAATTTCGATAGTTGAGATCATGAGTCAGTCGAAGCTAGATCACCAAGTCTGGAAACATTGGATGGCCGTTTCGTCATATTGTGGGACTCCTCAGCAGTGCGCATCCACGATCCCACCTCGCAAGATTCGAACTCTGTTAGTTGAAGCCTGTTAGTCTCACACGCGAACGCTTAACCTCTCGACCACTGAGCCGGCCTGCATCCAACGGTGTCAATGTCTAACTTTAACCAATCCACGAAATTGAGCGACACATCCACCATTGTCATCAGTGAGTTACTATCTCACAACAGACCCGGTTAAACTCCACTGGTCACTGCTCCTCACTAAAACTTCAGGATATACCTCTTGAAGCCAGTCACTAGTGAGCATATGTTCATTCGTATCAGAAAGGGTTTAGTGGAGATTGTAGTAATTTCGATAGTTGGAATCATAAGTCAATTGAAGCTAGATCACCATGGAAAACCTGGAAGCACTGGATGACTTACAATTATTTATTATTATTTATTTGAACACATAAATGTTGGTACAAATGGGCACCAAATATATACGCGCCACACAAAACAATGAGAAGTTAAAGAGAAGGGAAAAAAAGTAATGAACGTAGGGAGTTATAAAAAAAAAGAGAGAGAACAATAATGGGGGAAACGGAAGGTACAATCAGAAGAAATCTTTCAGTTAAGGAAGAAGCAACCGCTTTTTACGAAGAAAGTAAAAGAAGGTTACAGCAGGATCACCACTGGCTTCTATTCTGAGCCATATCTGATAACGTTTCTAGCCACTGTGTTACACCATCTCTCGGACCCCAGCCAGGGAGTCGTGAAGGACCAACAGAAGCTAGCCCTTTGCAGCTTTCTTTCATACCACGACACCATGTCATATACTGACCACCTCTCCGCTTTTTCCAACCAGTCCCAGAGTCGGCAAATAGTGCACGACGTGGAATTCTCTGGGACGACATTCGTAGAACATGTCCAAGCCACCGAAGTCGGTGTTTCAAGATGGTGACACCAATTTCATTATCGTCTCTGTGACCGAACACTCGATGCCGAACCTCTGCATTACTAACATGGTGTTGCCACTGGTTGCCAGCAATCCTTCGGAGACAGCGATGATCGAACACAGAGAGTCGTCTAACATCCTCAACTCGGAGAGGCCAGGTTTCACAAACATAGGGCAAAACTGCTGTCACCGACGCGTTGTAGATCCGAGTATTATAATCACAAGTGAATACAAAATAAGAAATGTTTCGGCGTGGTTGTTGTGGTGTCAATAATAATAATAACACTAAAAGTAATTATGAATAAGAGTATCCTGTAAAATAAGAAAATATGGTTAAAGTCATAATGGGATTGTGGAGATTGTTGAATTTCGTCAGAGGTATAAACCGATCTCAGACAACCAACGATAACATGGTGATACTGGCAGGCTGTTTCGTAGTAGTACGGACTCCTCAGTAGTGCTTATATACGGCTCTGCAACCTGGAATCGAACCCAAAACCTTCGCGGACACAACCTCTAGTCTACTGAGTCAGCATCCAACTGTTACGGGAGGGGGTACAAATCATAATGAAAAGGGAAGGGAACTAAGAATAAAATGATGATCCTGTGGACTAAGGTAAACAGGGATTGTATGTATAATTTTTGTATACATAAGTTGGGTTTCTTTGAATGAATTCTAATTGCTTCTGCTACATCAAGTTAGCGCAGACTTGCGCCAACATGGATTTACTTAACTTCATTTTCTGTTATATCACAATCATAATAATTTTGAATTGATAAGTGTAGAGCCTGATGAAGAAGTTATTGGAAACGATAGTTTACCCTAATTCCTTTTCGTTTTTAAATACTCAGTGAGAATTTTCATACATATACCACCATCTCAAGAAATAACGTAAGGGAAATAATCGTTAGAATTTCAGTTAAAGTAACCTGTTGTGTTACTGAATAAAAGTAAAGAAACCTTTCATTTCATATCTGTTAAGTGAATGATTGTTTTTCATATCCCTCAACCGTAAATTATCCCTTTTCTTAACCTCTCGATTATTATTCAACGTTTTTTATTGATATTTTAAATCTTGGATCACTTTACGATGTAATCTATTTCCATTCTCTTATAAAATTATACCTTTATCAAACAACTGTAAATCCGAATGTACAACTTAAATAGAGTTTTAGTTAATGTTTATTTCCTTGCACGGTTACCGGTAAAAATAATAAATTTATTTATAACAGAAAAAAGGTATAAATAACTTAGTAGTATTTTGATCTATAATTCAAAATTTATATAATTGGGGGATTTTCATGTTCTAGAAAGTGCATGAATGTAGTTATATAATTGTCGCCGATTGAATCTCAGACGAGACGTCGATTCTCTTAAAGGTGAATATACCGTTGTTATCAAGTTTCACTTAGTTCATAATTTATAGATGTAGAATTCCCTTCTGGTATCTAACAGAAAACACGCTAACTGAGCTAACAAGTCTAATAAAACACTTGATTAATGGAATTCGATTAGTATTGTCGACTAAAAATCTTAAAATTAATTACTCTCTATCGACCTATGACTCAGTATGCCTAGGCGTTATTTAGCCGCTTATATTGCGTTTAAAGTTGGTATTGCATAAACGACTATAAGTTAAATAAACTTGCAAGTTTGTAAGCTGCTTAGCTAAATTATATTCAATTATTTTAATAACTTAATAGTCATGATTTGCATCCACTATAACTACTAAAGTCATAAACTAGTGTTTTTCATTCCTACCTCTTTCTACCGTTAATTTAAAATGGGGAATTCGTCTCTGACTAGTATTCTTTTTTAATACCTGTTAATCCTATTCACCTAACTACCGAAATTATGTATTATATATATATATATATATATATATATATATATATATATATATATATCATGTAAGAGAAAAACAATAACATTTACCTTTATTCCAATCGTTATATGTTTGGATCCGTTGTATTATTCACTGGGTTGTTTTCCTACTTTTCAAGGGTTAATATGTGCTATTATTGATTTACCAACAGACGTTTATGGTCAACAATATATATATATATATATATATATATATATATATATATATATATATATATATATATATATATATATATATGCATTTCAGTTTGATGTCAGGTGTATTTTTTTAACTGAAGTTATTTACCGATAACTGACCCTGAAATCCGTATCCATCTGATTCATACATACATGTAACAATCATAGTAATGGTATTAATAATGGTAATATCCAGTATTCCTTGATTACGTTTTCATTATGTGTTTTATTTTCTACATTTACTTTGCTTTTCTTGTTAATATTTATATTTATTACATGTCACTAATCGTAGAACAGTCATTTAAGATTACTACATTTACCCTTTATAGTACAACTTTTAAAAAATTATTTTACATTTTTTCTACTAAATTTTGTAGCATTAGACTGATGTTTAAATTTCCATCAGCCTTGCATTAGTTATTGTTTGTTTCATCAAGTTCTGTATTATTTACTAAATATAAGATAATTCAGTTTAGTCTGCATTAATCAGGTAACATAATGGATTTTATTCCAATAAATTTCTACTCGGAATCTGGTGTAAATTTATTAGGCTTTATTTTATTATCTTACTGATTTTCAGTAATTTATTTGATGTGATAAGTTAGGTTCCTTCCTCGGTTTCTAGCGTTTCTTGAAACGGATGATAACACTGATCTGTTACATTACATGAGTGCTTAATTATTTATTCCAGTGACCTTGGAGCATGGAGGCAATTAGTCAGTCGTAAACAATATAGAAACTAGCATGTATATGAATCGGTTCAATTTGCCACATCACTTTTTCGCAGTGAAATGGAATTATCAAAAAAAATAGTAAAACAGTATCAACGATAATAGAAAAAGGCTAGGCATAGACAATATGATTCGAGAGGAAAGAATGAATTCGCGAAGTAAAATGTATAAGTAGTTTAAAACAAAGAGTGAATGCACTCAAACCATCACAACTGTCTCTGAGCCATTTCATCCAACGTCTCCCAACGCCAATTACGATAATCGTGCGAGTTCCAACCAGATTGTTTTGCACCTACCTAGGCGACGTCGCTCAATAGTCAATGACTTTATGATCTGATGCCACTTCTTAGTTTGGAGCCCCTTAGCTTTCCTCCAAACTTCTCGTACAGTAGCCATCATCGCTTATCGAGGTTGATCGTAATTGGGTACCTATTATATATGTCCTAAACACTTCATTCGATTAAGACGGACTAATTTACCAACTCTTGCCATTTCCATTTATTACTCCGACTCTAACCTCAATATTGCACACTCGGTGTCCCCAGTATAGATTTACAACTGAAAATAGAGATATAGTCGAAATAAAATTTTGTGCTTTT